TCTTTTCTTTTATGTACACTGAGAGCATTTGCACCAAGACAAATTCATTTGGCCAATAAAAGAATTCTATTCTAAGTTTAGATATAAGTTTTTTGCCTTAGTTGAATATGTGATCATGGTCATGTTTTATTGAAATGTAAAAACCTGGAATCACGTTGTTCACCTAGATACCGTGTTTCTCATATAATAAGGCCGGGTCTTATTTTTTTTGAGCCCCCCCAAAATGGCTAGGCCATCTTTTCGGGGGGTGACTTAATTCCCCCCCCCTTGCATCTTCGGGCGGGTGGGCGGCGATGGCTTGGATGTTGACCTCGGCATTGGTGGGGCACTTCGTATCGGGGTCAACGCAGGCAGCACCATATCCGGGTGTGCAACAAAAGTACTTCCTAATGGCAAGCCCCCCCACCATTTCCCTCCCATTTCACATGTTTTAATATAGGCCTTAATTTGGGGGGAGGGGCTTAATTTCATTTCATGCCTATAAAACATGCTGGGACTTCCTATCGGGGGAGGCCATATTGTTGGAGAAACAGGGTGTTTTTAAAAATATAATATAAAAAAAAATTATTGAAAAAAAAGTTGATTTAATTTTTTATGCTCCATTTTAATTAGTTTGGAGACCTTTTAAATTAGTGTGTAGTAGACTTTTCCTTTGCACACTTGGTATATTGTCCCTACGTGTGCTTCTTCTGGTAAGGCTGCTCACATTCCTGAGAGATTCGCCAGTGTATAAATTGCAACAATAAGAACGACAACAGCAACGATAATAACACGTCTCTTGCGATTCCACGTTTCCTTGCCGCAGTCCTCCACTCCCACAAAGTCGGGCGCCCAGAGCGGCAGAAGCCATCGACCAGCATGGCGTCCGGCCAAGGGGAGGGGAAAAAACCTCGGCGACGAGCCGCTCTAGCGCGACGACACCCATCGAGATTCTTCCCCCCCCCCCCCGCCCCTTTCAGCGCTCAGACCGGCCGAGTGCGCCTGCGTGCAAGTGTCGTTTTCCTCCTCATCGTCGTCTGTGGCGGCGGCGGAGCCGAGTCGGAGGCCTCGGAGGGGTCGGAAACCGCGGTGAGGACCGGGGTGGCTGGGTGGGTCTCGTTCGCAACTCGGAATCGCTTTTCTGGGGAAGAGAAGCGGGAGAAAACCGTCGCCTGGAACCACGGGCCTTAAGTCGGCGTAACCCAAGGCCGCCGCTTTTGAGGAGGAGGAGGGGAGGGGGGGGAGAGGCTGAAAGGAGTGGGCGGGGCTTCGCTTCCTTCGCAGGAGAGCCGGCCACGCCCCTCCCAAAGCCTCACCGTTCTATTCCACCCCCCCCCTCCCGCCGGGACTGCCACGAATTCGGTCGCGCGCCGCTCTCGCTTCCCCCCCCCCAAGTCTCGCGGGAACATCGCCGCCGCTGGAATGGAGATGCGGACGGGACACCGTTTCCTGGAGGCGGGTTTTCGGGGTCCCCCTCGCGCCCGGGACCCCCGCTGGGTAGGGGAACGGAGGGGGGGGGGGGGCTTGTGGCAGCTTCGCTCCTGAGCCTGCCTTTAAATTAAAAAGCAAGCATCGTCACGAAATGTATCCTGCAAAGATGGCGAGGTTTTTTGTTTTTTTTAAATCTCCTTAAGCCATGATGGTTAGTTGGGTTTTACCCATCTTTGTGTAAACAGGCCTCTTCCTCCCCCCCCCCTTAAAACACGACCTACAGATAGTCCTCGACTTACGACCACAGATAGTCCTTGACTTACGACCGCACGCACACACACCCCACGTTTGTGTTGAGATCTTGATCTTTGTCCCCATTTTACGACTGTTCTGCCCTCCGTTGTTAAGTGAATCGCCAGCAGGGTTAAGGTAGCCAGCAATGGGTTTGGTGAAGCCCGACTGTCTTAAATGGCGCTTACCTATATAAGGTAAGTAGACGGTACTCCCCCCCCCCCTTATCACTGCAGTTTGACCCCCAACATTTCGGTGGCTAAGCGGGACATCTGTGAAGGCTTTTTACAAACCTTTCTGGCCGCAGTTGTTAAGTGGATCGCTGAAGTTAAAAGGGAGTGATGCCGTTGTTAAACGAATCGAGCTTCCCCATCGACTTGGCTTGTTAAGGAGGTCGCAAAAGAGGCCGCCCCCAGGACATTCTCGACCGTTGTAAATATGAACCAGTTGCCAAGCATCTGAATTTTTTTTTTTTAATTCTTAAGACCTTTATTTAAGAGATGCTTGCAGTTTGACCTGAGAACAATCAGGTGTATTCATATAAATTAAAAATGAGGTTCTTAAAAATCCCAACTTGACCAGATATATATGAAACTATTTAAAAACCTTTAAAGGTGTATTGAGAAAAAAAAACAGGCTGTTTAAAAAACATGTTTGTCGCTCCCAAAAGGAGGAGGCAGCTTTATAGGTAAAAATAATAGAAATCCCGTGATAATGCAGAGAGTTTGAAGAGTTATCTGAATTTTGATCATGTGACCACGGGAGGCTGCAACAGTCGTTAAGTGTCGAAAAGTGTCATAAGTTGCTTTTTTTCGGGATCCTTTGTAATTTTGAAGAGTCACTAAACGATCTGTTGTAAGTCGAGGACTATTGTTTTGTGCGGTGTGAAATACTGACGCATCCTTGGGGTGAACCAGGCCTTCGGTTCTCTGTTTTAGTTGAATGGCTTACGTACATCCTCCCTTCGGCCTTCTGGCCACTGTCCAGGTGTGTCAAACTACAGGTGTAATGGACACATCTGGTTTGTGCATCACTTTAGGAAGGTGGATGACTATTAGGGTAGTCAACTCAATATGGTAGTAACTGATTTGAACAAAGGTGCACTTTGTTGTTTTGGTGCCAAATATATAAATAGCTTCCATGCTATTTTCACAAATGTTAAACCTAAGTTTCTTGATGTGTACGTTTTATGATCATACATCGGTTACTACTTTGTTGTTTTTATGTAAACCTTTATGGTAAGAGGTGTATGGAAATTTCTAGGGGGAAGAAAAAATATTAGATAAAGGGCACTATTTTTTTTTAAATCCCAGAGTCATTTATCTCCAGTTCTACAGTTGGGGCTAAATAAATTAGAAAGTAGAATCTGATTACCAAGCTTTCATTGGTGGAATTTTTTTTAACATAATTGTTTTGTTGACACCTAGTATGGAAGAATATCTGGCTGGAAAGACAGCTTCGCTATATGAGTAACCATTTCCTTCTTTTCTTCCCTTAATAGATGGTTAGCCTTAAAATTTTAAATAAAATTCCTATCTTTAAACATTAATCCCACACAACTGCTTTTTAGAGATACTAGTAATTTGTACATACTTTAAAATGTTTATATACTATTATTTTTAGTACATTATCTCTGCAGCTAGTCATTTTTTGTTATTTATTTGTTATTTTATTACTTTATTTTTATTGAAATACTGCCTTAAAAAATTTCTGGTTCTGTTCTATTTATTTTAGCAAGTCAAAACAGTAATTGAACTGCTCTGACTTGCAGTCCTAGTAGCTGTTTGCATTATTATTATTTTTCCAAAAAGCTTACCATATAGAAAGAAGTAACAATATCCTTACGATGTACATAGTAACTCTCATTAAAAAAAATTGGTGTCAGTTATGCTTAGCTTATAACATTTCCGACAGAACATTATGTAAATAGGTAATATTCCTTTAACACGATTGCTCTTAGACAGTCTGTCTGTTGCTTATGTCATAAAGGTCTTTTTAATGCCACTGGCATGAATATTCTTGAATTTGATGCTGCACTAACCTGTCTTCTTGAGGAAACACTAGTTAAAAAAAACATCAGTATAATAGGAGTTTTTGAAGTTTGTGAATGGTGGCCAAAAGGTGTGAATTATTGGGATGAATTTGTTCTCCTGGAGAGGTGGCTTCTTCCGTTCACACACACATCTCTCCCCTGTGTATTCAGATGCATCACTGTAAACGTTACCACTCACCTGAGCCCGAGCCCTATATGAGCCATAGATGGAAGAGGCGGCGGTCTCGTAGCAGGGAGCACCACGAGGGAAGATCACGGTATCCCACTCTCCGGGATTTTCCTCGGAGGTCACGTTCTAGAAGGTGAGCTGCTTGAAACCAGCATTTGACTGGCCGATCCTTGATAATGGTCTGAGAAGGAGAAATTATACATGTGTTTGCTTAGAGATCCCGTGTCTTCTCTGTAAGTATCAAGAATCATAGACAATAAATCTGTCAAGGTACATAGTTAAGTGCTATACATACCAAAATAAAATCCTTCAGGTGTTATATACCATTGAGGAAATTTGCCTTCACATTTGGTGAGGATGGGGGAGACTTGGTGAATTGTTTTCACCATTGAAGGCAACACAATGCTCCGTCAGAGATGCCCTTTTGGATTGAGCAAAACTGCTATTGTGTTCTTAATTGCTTCCTTAGGTCAAGCCACAGCTTACGGAGTCTAGAAGGCTCCAATGCAGGGCACTGTGGTTATTCTATCATTGAACCCAATGGATTTAGATGGTTGGCTTCTGAATACAAATTCTGATAAGGGTTTTTTTTCCTGCCTTCTCTGTTTTTCAAAACATGTAATGAAACTTTCGTTGTCTTAGTCCTTGGTTGCACAGATAAAACATAACTAATCTTAGGAAGAACTTGGAGGCTTTGTAGATAAAATGAAGAGGATTGGGAGAGCCTAGACATAATATTTAGAACCAGTATATTGCTATTCAATATACTGCTTCTAAATGTTATGTCTAGGCTCTCCCAATCCACCACTGTTGGATTGGTGTATAACAGAGAGCTTGTGGCATTTTAAAATGAATTTTGAGATCCGCCCCCTCTCGTTTAGCCTTCAGGAAAAGCTTTGAAATCTGGCTATGCTGGTTGGCCTTGAAGGAGGAGGAGCTGTTGGCTGGAGGTGGTTGGTGCACTAACAAAGAGAAGGAACTCCACCTCTCCCCTCCAAACCCTTGTTTTTTAGTTGTTTCATTTTTTTTTGTGTAATTGTAATCTGTTTTTACATTTATAATTGTTGAACATTCGTGGGTTTTATCTTGATGTGAGCCGACCAGAGTTGCCTAAACCGTGAGATAGGCAGCAAAGAAATTTGATATATAAATAAAATAAAACATTCTGCCTCTTAAACAGAAATAGATCGGGCGACAATTTTAGAGGTCAGGCCGCTACCATTCCCACTGTGAATCTCTCCAAACCCTCTAAAAGTTTGGCCCATGGGATTGGGATTTAAAAATGGAATGGAAATGAGATACTTCTGGGGAGCAATCGGCTCGTCTTCTTGCTCTTAGAGCTGGTTGCCCCGCTTCCTTCCCCCCCTCCCAAAAAAATCTGGCTCAGATTTGGGCAGCACATCCTCAAGATATGGGAGGTTGACTCCAACGTCTGCTTCAACATAGAAATATATTGTGCTTGAGAATCACACCCCCACATTCCTTTGCATGTTGTCGTGGAACTGGGGAAATCTGGCGACGTTGCGCTCAACTTTAAATGCCGCCTGGGTTGGCCTGGCACAGGTTCATTGGCATCTTCCACAGCACAGGGTGGGCTAGTATCGACGAAATCAAATAAGGACACTCAAAGGTCAGCAGTGACCTAAAATTATAGGCCGGTTGGCTTTAAGCAGTGCGCATTGAATTACCAATTTCACTTTTACCCATTGCTTGGGAGTCCTGAACTAACAGAAATTGGCAGAGAAGCCTTGGCAAACACACCTCTTGCACGAATGGGCTGCTTCCTTGGGAACTACGAAGGTAATAGGCAAACCGTTTTGTGTGAAAGAGGTACAAACTGTACTTGTGACGAACTAAAATAAAAAACCTGCGCATGAGCCACTGGCGGGAGGCTTTATTTTGCCTCGGCACCCCTTCACCTCCAGAATAATTTTCTTTGTGATTGTGAGGACGAAGAATAGAAAAAGGCTTGGTACCATGAAAGAGACTAAGGAGATAATAAAGCAAAGAGGCTCTCTCTACATTGGTTTGGTGCACGTGCCTTTTGTGAACCGTATATTTTTTTCATGAGTCAAAAAAAATATAACAGTGGGCCCACGAAGCCGCCGATGTCCATACAAAGAGACTTTTGAATAAAAAGCCCACGATCCTGGAGGGTGGAATTCTAGCCTCAGTCCAAGTAAGGCGTGAGTTTTATATGCCAGAAATATCTGCTCTTCTGCAAATCCTAGTTAATTGTTCTGTGTGCTACATCCCAACGCCAGCTCGGTCTCTCCTCTGGTCTGCTATTGGCAATTATTAACAGTTCTGACCTCAGAATATTATAGATTGCTTAAAGGCCTTATTTTTTACCGCACAGGGAAATCTATGCAGGTGAAATGGGGCAAAGTAAGGAATAAGGTAAGAAAGTTGGTTATTATGTGCCCATAATCTCAATGAAGCCTACCTTCCCTGGTGCTCTTGCATCCCATTCTTGCCTTGTTTGCTTAGGATAATTTTTAGTAAAACCGGCAGAATAAACAAACACGGTGACATTTGGAGCTTTGTTACAGAAATGTGCTACAGGCCATGATGCCATGAGCTGTAATTGGCAGGTGCATCTGCTGACCGGTCAGGGAAGATTTGTGTGTTTCAGAGTTATTTTAGGCAGCTGTTGTAAGTGCGTGGCAGTAAGTAACATCCTATGTCAGGTTTTTTTTTTCCCCCCCTCCCCCCCCCCCCCCCCCCCAATTTGTAATGAGGCTTTTGTTTGCAATTCAGCCAGGACAGATTGCCTTACCAGAGAGGGTACCGAGACAGGACAGACAGTGAATTCCACAAGTTTGAAGAGCAAAGCCCGTCTTTTGTAGAGGACTATTACTCTACCCGTCGTTCACGTCACCACAGGAGATCTCGGGAGCGTCATCGGACCAGGAAGCACCAACATCGTTGCCGGAAACGCAGGACCAGGTCTTGTAGCAGCACCTCCTCGGTGAGTAGCATCCAAAAACGAGTTCAGGAAATGTCCTAGGGACCAATGACCTTCTAGCTCTTTTTCAGCTTTGATTTTAACATTGGGTGAGTACTTCTAATCGCTATCTCTTTTTTTTTTTCTCCCTCCCCCCCCTCTCGGTACGGTTTTGTAAGGTTTCTCGCCTGGTGCGATCCTGGTTACGTTAGGCTTGATGACCCAGCTGTGAAAAGGCTGTAGTGGTTGAGAATCCAGCGTGACGTTTTTCTAAGACACATTGGGAGGTGATGCTTGAGAGGGGCGTTTGTGTACGTGACTCAGGACGGCTGTGCTGCATCCTTCCTTCTCCACTCCGAAGCGTCCACCCCATAATATGCCTGGTGGCGCTTGGTTAGTTGTGATTAGTGACACAGGCTGTTCCTTCGCCTTGGTAACAAGACCAGGTTTCTTTTAGCCTTTCACGCACACACACACACACACACACACACACACCAGCCAGGTTGTGTTGTCCTTGGCTGAAGAACCGTCACTTCTCGTCCTGACAACCCTCTGGAAGAGAATTCTGGTGAAATCTAGATCCTGCGGAGTATGCAGGTAGTCCTCGACTTACAACTTGAGCCCAGCGTTTTGTGTTGCTAAGCAAGGCATTCGTTAAGTGAGTTTTGTCCCATTTTATGCCCTTTCTTTTCCATAGCGAAATCCCTGCAGTTGGATAAGTTAGTAACCCCGGACGTTAAGTGAATCTGGCTCCCCTGTTGACTTTTGGTTGTCGGGAGGTCGCCAAAGAGGGAAATCCCGTGACCAGTTTGCCGAGCGCCTGAATTTTGTTCACGTGGCCATGAGGATGCGGCAAAGGTGGTCAACTGCCAAAAAGAGAACATAAGTCACCATTTTTCAGTGCCGTCGTAACTTTGAACGGTCACTCCACAGACTGTTGTAAGTCGAGGCCTAACTGTATAATCAGCCTGAGTAACCTGACAGCCTCCTAGTTACGCATGGCAGCCTCCCAAGGACTCCAAAGAACTCCAGACGATGGGAATTTGAGTACCTGCTGGGCAATAAGACAGGGCCACAGCAGACATTCAGCCCGTCGGAGGTCTGGGGAACGTGCACACGTTGCAGAGGTTTTCTAGCTTTGGTTACAACAATTCTCCTTATTTAAACGCATTTTTAAATTAATAAGTAGTCCCCAAATCTCATCCACGAATTGGCTCCACCCACCAACCTGCAGAAAAAGGAAACAAGTAATTTAATAACAAAACAGCAGCGACTATTAAAGTGCACGTATGAGTTTGCTTTACTGATTCATACACCTCCCAAGGTCCCTAAAGCTGGAGGTGCTGTAATTGCTCCCTGCCCTTACACACCTAGCAAAGGGAAGGGAGTTTTGTGGATGGTTTGAACCAGTCTGTCCTCTTTTCCTTATCCTGTTTTTCAGTTTGCACTTGCTAATATCTTACAGGCTGCCCACTGTAAGTCTCCCTTTTCCCCCTCCCCAGATCCCTGTTCTTGGAATTTGTCCCCTAAGTATGATTGCCGTGTTAAGGACACAGACTTTGCTCGGTGTGACCTAAACCGCTCAGTTTTCTTCACCTTCTTTAACCTGCTTAAGGATCTTAAGATTGACCTCAGCTTGTCTGTTCCAACCACTTTTTCTTTAGACAGTACGCCCAGCTGTTCTTCAGGGGAAGGTGGAACAAGAGAGGGTAGACTTGGAATCTGCAGCTCATTCTAAACGAGCTGTCTCTCTCTCTCTCTCTCTCTATATATATATATATATATGTATATATATAATATTTTGCTATTAAAAGGTTATGATAAAATGGTGATTGGGATAGTTATAATAGTGGAACTCTTCAGGATTGCTTGGCTGTTTTCTTCCCACTCCTTCAGTACAGTAGAACCTAGTAACCACGAAGGACTCCTTTTTCATTTTTTTCTTTCTTTTCTTCTTCAAGAGGGTCAGAAACACTTCCCTGAGCATTGGGGGCAGTGTGGGGCTGACCTCTATGACCTTAGTTGGTTTTTGGCCCTTTATAGAACGGTCATCAGCCACACTTTAAAAATGCTCGACTCCCACATGGCTCCTGTCTATAAAGGCCTCTTCTAAGCTTGACTTCTACTCAGTACTAAAAGCAAACAACGGATTAGACCAGGCTTATCAAAGGTAGAACAACCAGATTTGCAGTGGTTTTCCATCTGATCAGGAGGGTGATTCAACACTGAACAGCCACTGGGCTAGGAGGGGGCAACGTAGGCTTCTGCTGACATTTTTGGGGTGGGTGGGGTTTGCCCCATTATCATGGTTGCTGATGGAGAAGCTCCTTCCATTGAATCCTCCTTCCTGCGCGACTCGCTTATCTTTCCCTTAGTGATAAAGAGGTGGCAGTTGAGGCCTTTGGGAGCGTGCTCAGTCACTGGGCACATGCCAGCTGCTTACCCCTTGCTCAAGACCTACGGGCACCAACTGCTGTGAGACTCCAGCCCTCGCCTTCCATAGCTAATCAGTTTCTTTACATACCTGTAGCTGTTTTTTTTAACCTTTGTTTTGAAAGTCGGTTTGTGTCTTGACGTGTCCCTTGCAATATCCCTATCGTTATATATGCTGTGTGCCTTATGAAATGCTGGGATCTGGAAAATCCAACCACCGACGCATCGTCGTCTCTCCGCCTTTGAATGACAACTCAATCTGCCAATCGGAAACTGCCCGCTGTGTGCGATTGGTCGGATGGCGTTTCGGGGGGCGGTGTGTACAGAGAAGCCAACAGAGCAATAAGCGCAGCAGGAGCGTGGAAGATGACAAGGAAGGTCACCTGGTGTGCAGGATCGGCGATTGGCTCCAAGAGCGATGTACAGCCACCTTTCGTAAAACTTTACCTCTCTACTTTCTATCCCCATGTTAGACGAGATCGCTCTCAGTGTACGGGAGGGGTCTCTAATGTTTATGGCTTGTAAATGGACTGAACAGTAATTGCTTGACAACAGAAAATAGACAACTTGTGCATTAAAGAGTGTTAGCAGTGAGAGCTTTTCTTGAGATTTTTGAATGCTGTGAAATTTGCAGGACCTCGCACCCCCCCCGTTCCCTGTGCCTGGAGCTCACATCCGCCTTTGTTTTTTCTCCTAGACGAAATTGTGGGCAGCCTTGGCGAAGGGACTTTTGGCAAAGTGGTGGAGTGCGTGGACCACGCCAGGTACGAGTTACTTAACGCCTGACCGGATTATCTCAGGCTGCTTCTTTCAGAGGCAGAGATCTCGTCCCCTTTATCTCGAGAGCAGAGGTCGAAACCTTTGTGCTTTCCAAAGCCACTTAGCCTGCGCCGTAATTTCTCAGTAGGGAGCGCAAATTGGGTAAGCTAACGGGGCACCCGCTGGGCACGTTTCCATCCCGTGCCTAAAGCCAGCGAGAACTGTCCCGTGATAATCGTGAATGGGTGCAACTCTTCCTATCGTCACCAGCTACTTCCCCCTTGGATGTTGAAGGAAAAGAGGGGAGAGAAACAGTGAAAATTGGGAACGCTGCGAGAAAAACTAGCCTTCCCAAATAAATCTGAGGACACCAGTGCCTTTTGCTCTTGGCATCCTTTCATCAAAATCCCCAAATATCTTCCTTGCTGAATTTCATTTAAGACTCCCCTCCCTCCTCTCCCTACGAAAAACAGTCCCAAAAGATTTGCCGTCACAACGTTCCCCCGATGGTCAACCCAAAGAATGAAAACACTCTGGCCCTCCTTGCTGGCCTTAAGCAAGGAAGGAAATCCTCAGTGAAGGAGATAGTTCCCCCCAAAAGCAAGGAAGCAGGTTCTTCCCTCCATATGCAAGCAGGACTGTCCCCAAGCAACATGGCTCAGAATCCAGCTTGTTTGGGAGTATATGGCGGTTCTAGGGAGTGCTTTGAAAATCTTCAGCAACTTTGGTGGGCTTCCAACGCCCAGGATTCCTCAGCCAGGTTTAGGAGATGCCTTGGTTTGCTTCTGCAACCAATCACCTTTAACTCAGGTAAAAGCGGTTGCCAAGCCTCTGGCGCTCCTTTCTCTAAGCAGGGAGCTTGTTTTTCCAGCTGTTCTATCAATCCAACTTTTGTTCCTGGAGGTGTGTCATTAGAATGACAGGAGAGGGAAATTATAACTCAACGCCGACCCGGAGCTGCTGCTTCCTCTCGGTGTTTACCTGGCCCGCTGAGCCAGTCCATGAGCAAACGGGGTGAACACAGCTTTCCATGTTAAACTGAAAGAACGCTGACTCTAGAAATATGGGAGTGCGGGGAGAGAATGGTATACAGAGAACGTCTTTTCACCGTGTTTCCCAACCACGGTTCCCTGGGAAGTACCAAATGGTCGCACTTGCAATTTTCCCTACATGGGATTTAAGTCATGGACTACAGCAGTGGCCCCCAACCTTTTTTCTGCCACGGCCCGGTACCGGCATCACAAAATGATCCGCGGCCCGGTACCGGCATCAGCACGCATGACAAGGCAAGGCGAGCCAAGCGACCGGCCAGCCAGCCGTCCCCCGCTTCTCCCCGCCACCTTCAACTCCTCCTTTGTACCTTTGTCGATGGGCTTCGCTTCGGGACGGTCGCTCGGCTCTCCTTGCCTTGGGTGCTGAAAGAATCCTCGCGCCTTAGTTTCGTTCGAAGCCCCCCCTTCGATGAAACTAAGGCGCGAGGATTCCTTCAGGACCCAAACGCCGCTTTCCAACCGGAAAAGCTCACCCGGAAGCACTTTCTCGTCAAACAAGATGGCGGCACCCAGCAAACCGGCGGCCCGGTAGGAAATGTTCCACGGACCGGTACCGGTCCGCGGACCGGTGGTTGAGGACCCCCGGACTACAGCATGGACTGCATTTAAATTGGGCCCCATGACACATTGTTGGAGTTGCAGTTGACTGGCGGTCAGCTTCTGTGTCAATCTAGAACCTGTGGCATTGTTGTTCCCCTTTAAGGTCCTGCATAGATTGTCTTCGAGACCCCCTGCTCCAAAGTGAATCTGCCTTTCCATTGAGAGAAGGCTGGCTGAGGGTCTCAACCTCGAAGGAAAGTCTTAACTGCAGGGACCCCCTTAACCAGAGGTGGCCTGTCAGTGCAGGAGCTTGCCTTCTTAACATCTGGATTGATGCCACCCTGAATTTCTCTACAGGGTTGGTAAAAACATAACCCTCTGACAGGGCATTTGGGAGGCCATTTGGGATGATGTGCCACTGCTTTATTTGAATACCAGTAAATGAGCACTGAATGAATAATCCAATTACCTACTCCCCTTTGTAAATGCTTTTGTCATCAAGAAACTGCATCATTAAGTAGCATGGAGCATCTCTGGCCTTCAAAAGGATATTCAGGCGGTGAGATAGATAAAGTGAAGCACAGGTGCTTTGAAGACCTCTACGATTTAACTATTATGCTACTTGATCTTTTACTTTTTGCTCTGTTGTCTTTTGGCACCTGTCCCTGGAAGCTTTGAAAGGAGAGAGAAATTGGTTTTTTTCCCTAGTTTGGGGTTTTTATTGAACGAACAAAGTATTGGATTTAATCTCAGCCACTTCCTCATTGGAAACGTCTGCTGCGACTTACCTAACAATCCCCCTTTCTCTTCTCTTTCCCCACCTGCTCCATAGAGGCAAATCTCTGGTAGCTTTGAAAATTATTCGAAATGTGGGCAAATACCGTGAAGCAGCCCGACTAGAAATTAATGTCCTAAAGAAAATCAAAGAAAAAGAAAAGGACAGTAAACAGTAAGTATTGCCTCTGCCGTTCATGACGCGTGTTCTTTTTCAAATGATTGCAGGGGTGTCCAACCTTGGCAACTTTAAGACTTGTGGACTTCAACTCCCAGAGTTCCTCAGCCAGCTGGCTGAGGAACTCTGGGAGTT